TATGGTATATTGCTGCACACCATGCTAATCTTATAAGACTGCTATATAATGATTTTCGCTTAGCCTTGTGACACAACCAAGATAAAGCAGATTGCCAAGAGAATGTGAATGGAATTTCTAACATGGAGGATATAACTTCCCAAACAGTCCTAGAGTAGAGGCATGAGAAGAACAAATGGTCTCTAGTCTCATTTTCAGCCCCACACAGCACACAAGTAGCATCTATATGGGGAGACCATGATTTTTGTCTTGCTCTAGTTGAAAGCCTGTCCAAAATAGCAAGCCAAGACATAAAGCTATGTTTTGGTATAGAATTTGCAAACCAAACAAGCCTAAACCAGGGCACTTTTTCTTGTTTTTCCCTCAAATGATTCCATGTGTAACCAGTTTTGAAGGATCCTGATGGAGATGCAAGCCATATAACTGAGTCTTCTACTGCCTCATTTGGATACAGATTGCCACATAATGCAATTTGAATTTGTAATAATTCTGGGGACCTAGTAGGGGGCCATTTCTAGAAATTACCTTGCACCACTTGAGACAACTTAGCTTGTAATGGAATTGCTATGTCCCGTACAATTTTCTGACCATAAACCTCAAGTAGTGGTCCTGTTGGATGCCAAAAGTCAAACCAGAGAAAAGTGTTCTCCCCATTTCCTATCATATGCTTGATCAAATATCTAGCCGCAGGCTTCAAGCTTAAAATTTTCCTCCAAAACCAAGAGGTGTTACCTGAAATTTTTAATGACCAGAAACTTTTCCCTTTAATCAGATATGCCTGTACCCAAGCCACCCAAATTGAACCATCTTTAGAGAAAAGCAACCAGATGAATCTTAAAATACAAGCTTTATTCCAAGCCTGCAGTGGTTTTATGCCTAGGCCGCCCTCCACTTTTGGTTTGCAAACAATCTCCCAACTGACCTTTGCTCCTCTAGCATCTGTAGCTCTACCTTTCCATAAAAATGCACTACATATAGCCTCTACGGACTTAATAACCTTCTTGGGAAGGATAAAAACAAAGCACCAAAAATTCGTAATACCTTGAAAAACTGAAGTGATGAGTTGAAGCCTTCCTGCAAAAGATAGATGTCTTAAAGTCCAAGAGTTGATTATATCAGTAATTTTCAAGATGAGGGGCTTAAGTGCTGCATCTGTTAATCTGCCTGTTATCAAAGGCACTCCAAGGTACCTTACAGAAAGGGTCCCAAGCTTAAAACCATAAGTTGCAGCCAAATTCTTGATGATACTGTCTTGTACTCCACAATAGTAAATCTCTGACTTTTGGTAATTTACTTTCAACCCTGTTATTGAATAAAACTCCTTTAAAATAGAGTCAACAACACTTATAGCCTTGGGTGATCCATTTGTAAAAATCAAGAGATCATCTGCAAAACACAGATGGGTAAGGCCTACGTTACTGCACTTTGGGTGAACTGGTAGTCTTCCTTCTTGAGCAGCTTTATTAAGAAGCCTGGACAAGACCTCCATACAAATGACAAACAGATAAGGGGACAAAGGGTCCCTTTGCCTTACTCCTTTTTTTCCCGGGAAATAACCCTCCAAGGCTCCATTTATAGCAATAGAAAACATAGGGGAGGTAATGCAAACTTTAATCCAGTTTACAAAAACAAGGGGAAAGGATAATGCTTCCAAAGTTGCAAGAATAAACTTCCAACTAACCGAGTCAAAAGCCTTCATTAAATCAATCTTGAGAGCACATCTGGACTGCATATTAGTCTTGTGATAATCTTTAACCAGCTTTTGAGCAAGCAGAATATTTTCGACCATCAATCTCCCCTCAACAAAAGCACATTGATTATTGCTAATGAATAATGGCAAGCACTTCTTCAGTCTATTAGCAATTATCTTAGTAATGCATTTGTATAACAAATTGCAGCATGAAATGGGCCTAAATTCACCCATTTTAGAGGGGCAAGACACCTTCGGTATTAAGGAGATTATTGTAGAATTCACCTCTTTAAGCAGTTTTCCGGTGGAGAAAAACTCTTTAATAGCTTTCGTAACAAGATCCCCAATAGGCACTCTTGTAAAACTCGGCTGTATAACCATCTGGACCAGGGCTTTTATTGTTTGGACTGCTGAAAAATATCTACTTACACTCTTCTGCAGTGACAGGTTGTATTAGGGCTTGCTGCATTGTGTTTGGAAGCTGGAAGTTGAATAGTGTTTTCAGCAGTTCAAGCTCACCACCTAAACAAGAAGGGTCCTCAGTTCCAAGGAGCTTTTGGTAGAAGGCAATAGCCTCTCTTGCAATGTCTGCATGTTGAGTAAGCACCTTACCATCATCAGAATGCAGCTCCCTAATTGAGTTTTTGCATCTTCTTATTTTCAGGATTTTATGAAAATATGTTGTATTTTGGTCACCCTCTTTGAGCCAATGAACCCTTGACTTTTGCTTCAAAAATGCTTCCTCAGCAAATGTTAAATCTGCCACCCTTTTTGCTTGCTCTTGTTCTATTATCACCAAGTCTTCTTGCGAATTAGACAAAAGATCAATTTGGATAGCATGCAGCTTCTTTGTTTCCTTAATAAGCCTTTCATGTAAGTCACCATATGAGTTCTTATTCAACTGCCTGAAAGAAGCTTTAAGTGCTTTTAGCTTTCTACAAAGTTGAAACATGTAGCACCCTTGAACTTCAATAGAAGACCAAATATCCTAAACAATGCTTAGAAATTGTTCATCTTTTGTCCAAAAATTGAAGAATTTGAACGGTCTCCTTAAATGATTGCTAGGTGACTCCATAATAGT